ATATATATATATTTACATGCACACACACACATACACACATGTACACACAAACACATTCTAGTGCTGGTACAGCAGTGGAGGGGCCTGGTTTACAATGATGAGCCACATGCACCACTGGTGTGTGCTTGCTATGCACACAGAGATCTGGGAACAACCATGGCAGGTAAAAAAAACACACACATCGTGACAGGCCACAGAAGAGGTTACAGGTTTTATTGAATAAAGACATAAAAAAATAAAGTAACTTATATTTAAATCTAATACATATTCACCAGGGTGCATGACAGTGATATTGACACTGACATCCGTACAATGAGACACATTATGATGAGAACCCTACAAAGCCTACAATGTCCATGGCACAGCTAGAAGAGATTTATTTACATATGTAAACCTAATAAAGGATAACCCTAAAACCCAGTGTCATGCAAGGCTTGAGAATAATGTACCCAGTGACATGGGCACCATGTACCTTTTGGATGTATGGACCAACATTTTGGCATTGAGGTCCTCTACATGAACTATGCCACAATGGCATTGCCTGCATAACAATCAGCTCCTCCACAAGCACTTCTAAATATCAATGTTGCCATATGTTCATCCATATTAGAAGAGTGTCAGGTTATAAACTTTTTATTGATGTTCACTGATAAAGAATTACCTATTTTATCCTAACCTTTGAAAGAAAATGAAAACAAAACCTGACATTTTGAAGGTAAAATTAGTTGAATATGCAAGAAAATTGGATAAATAAATAAGTAACAAAACAGCTGAATTGAATAAATTAAGGTTAATTAAAATTCTGGTCAAATGTTTCATTTGAGAATTCAAGTAAAATCTTTGTTTTGAAAGAGTTGACGAACCTTCCCAGATGTGTATTTCTTATCAACTGTTTTTGTGGCAATCAATTTGTAGTTTTGCATGGCATTTTGTGATGGTTCAAGAAACTTAGGTGTAAATGGGTGATATTTATGATACTGTAAAAAGAAAGAATGACTATTCTGTTGATCTAGTGTGATATGATATGTTAAAAAAATGAAATAGTTAAAATGTTGGAATTGATATTTAGAATCAATATAATTAAATAATTTGTAATTAATTATAGAAAAATATCATAGATGCTATAATAATTAATTAAACCTATAAAATTATAGAAAATTTGCTATACATATATATAGATCGAATAAATTAAATTAATTAAAATTTCAATCTATAAAATAATTAATTAAACCTACAAAAATATTTTTCGATCTATAATTAATTACAATATGTTGCTTCTAAAAGAACAAACTCGTAGGTATGACAATACAGCACCTTTATCACATCAGTGTTGTTTTGTAAACTGCACTTTATTGCATCATCTGATATATTATAAAATATTTACAAATAAAGAGTTTAGTTTGGTTTATTTTTTAAAACTTTAATTCTATTTTTTTGGTCTGTAAATCTGATATTCTTGTTGAATCCTTGTTACAAATTAAAAACTTTAAAATCTAGGTTTTCAAAAGAGTTGATGACAAAAAAAGGAGAGGATACAGCAAGTATTTAATGAAGATGATAGTAGAAACTTCAAGTGCATGCATTGATTACACTCTTAATACTAATCTTAAAATGTTATTAAAACGCTTTGAGAACTCTGAATTATCCTTGCATGATTCATTTATTTACTTATTTTTGGATTAATCGTTAGTTCATTTTTGTGAAAATTTGCAATTTTTAAAACTAATGTCCATGTTTCATATTCTTAGTTATCATTAAAAATGTATTGCTCATAAAATCACAGGAGTCCATTACTTTGTGTAATTGATGTAAAGATCACCTGACCAATATTTTTAAATGAATATACTAGAAGAACAAAGAAGCTGTAAATTTAAAATTATAAATCCAATACAATTGGTCATACCAATCTATTTTTCTATATCAGCTTATTGATTGATTATTGAATCTACACACGTAGTAATTATTTTGTTATATTAATAACAGAAACATGAATATAAATTTTATTTTAAATAAAGTAATTAATTTTTTTTGCATGTAATTTATTTTCTTCGAAGAGTATTTAATTAAGCCAAATTCATAATACATATTTACAAAAAAAGTGTTGTCACTGTATTCAGTACAATATGTTATAAATTTGAAAATATGTTGATTTATGAAACGCTGGTGAGTTGATTTCGTATAAGTATATATATATATATATTTACATACATACGTATATACATATATAACACAAATTCACAGCAGTCAAGAATGTCTCTATGTACGAATGCATTTAATCACCGATTAATACTAGCTTTTACTGTTGTCCTTGTATTGCTTGGTGATGTACATTCCTTTCAGTAAAGTTTGTAACCAATATCAGATAGAAAATATTTTTTGTAACTAGCATTTATATATATATATATATATGTAGATGCAAAAGGCATCATATTACTTCTCTAAAATAATATTTAATTAAATTTGAGTGCAATTATATATAATCTATGCTGATAACTGTACAATTGTTTCTTCAGATCCCGTGGTTGGACTTGTAATCCTTTACATGAAAGTATTTTTTCAAATGTATAATTTATCAACTGGTTTTATAATTAGTTTATTTTCAAACGATTTCCATATTTAGACTTGATAAAAACCACTCCTGTTTCACATATATTTATATATAATTTTAAGGGAACAAGAGTTGGTCTAAATATCATTAGTTGTATATTCTGACAATTTGGAATTTATTGTTTGATGGGTTTGTAACTATTGGAGCATGAAAATCGCCCTCGAATAATTTTCGTTTAATTGGAGGTGGCTCTGACAACAATTAAATAAAAACTGACACGTTGACCTTGAAAATGATATATTGACCAAGGTTGGAAGTGGAACAATCCCAAGCACAGAAGAGATTTTGGTTTGCTGTGTGTGTGTGTGTGTTTGTGCATTATCCATGGCACCGCCGAGGAAAATTGGTTCTAAGGAGATGCTTAGATGTTTGCAGGTATTCGAACACTAAAATATGCAAATAAAACAGTAGGGGTTCAAATATCACGAACTTCTCATCAATATATATCCTCCCAAAGTGTAAATAAGCTCTCTTCGAAAAGCGTTAACTCTGTCCGAGTGGTCCCCAGGGGATTACTGCTGACTTAGCTGACCTGGCACACTCTCTCTGTCGTCCTCGATCCTTGACCAAAATCAAAATTGATGCGGATGTACTGCTGGCACTCCCTTAAAATAATACTTTATTACGAAATTAGTATAAAATCTCCATTGCGTCTTTCACTCTCTTGAACAATATTTTGAGAAAATACAAATATTTTAAAAAAGAAAACCAATTGAAGTAATAATTGTGAACAACGTAGTGGTATTGTTATGACATGTCAGTTGTCAACTATTTTATTCTTAAACAATCGATTGACATGCACATAGGTAATAGAGCGAGGATGCATTGAAAGTTGTAGGTATTGAAGATCTGGGCACGTTAGTGTCAAATCCATAATCTGTTTTTAATACTATTGTTGCTGTTGTTTTTGTTTTTGTTTTTATTATGTTATGTTATGTTATGTTATTTTTTTATTTTTTATTTTTTTTTGTTGAAAAATAAATGAATCACAACAAAATACTTTGAGCTCAAAAATGGTTCAGCATTGCATGTTTTCAATGTAGTTTTATGCAACGTAAAATTCTATGTGATATGATGAGTTTTATTTAGAAATTTCCTAAAAATGAATGCATTGTAAGAATTGTCAAAATATGGATGTACGGGTTATGTTGATTACTTTCTTATCTATAAATACAGTGTTTTCAAGTAATTGTCTACTTGAAAATGGAAAGAGTGGGAAAAAAATGTTCCAGATTGTAAGAAGCGGACAAGTCAATACCATTGACAATGGCGTTGTTATTTTTAGCATTCAAAATATAAGATTGTCATAAAATATATAAACTCAAGTTTGAAGACATGACATTTGAAATTAAATATGAATCCAAATAGTATAATAAAAATTACACATCCATAGGTATATACACATTTTTTGAAAAAGTTGAAAACATCCGAGAAACGTATGCCAACTCTACGTACAGCAATGTCGTGTGAAATCATGTATACACGGAATAAATAATGTAAATTCTAGAATGAATAAATATTTTTATCTATTGAAGCGATTTGGTCTTTGTATACTGAAAGTTGGGTTGTATTAGCCTCGATCCCCAATTCTTTAACGAAAAATTCTATAAACTGGAACGGGAGACACCAAAAATTGGTACAAGCGACATTCCAGAATTATTGCATGAAGAAACTAGTGATTGTTAGGCAGACAGAAGAATGGATCCAGTGAGGAATGAATGAATGAATGAAGAGGATTCAGGAGAGAAGCACCCATAATGACTTGGTCCCACAGGCATCGGGCTTCGGACCAGGACACTGGCCCCATGGACAGAAGGGTTATTATGGGTCCCTCTCGGTCAGTCTGGGAGAAATTTATTCGGCGGGCAGATGGGGTCACGCGGGCATGGAAGACCACGGTGAGGCTCCGCATTCCCGCCCTTGCGCCAGCCGGCCTCGCCGCCGTTGCCATCGTCCTCGCCGCGCCGCACTTCGGTATCACCCCCGTCCCCGCTTCCCCCTCTTCATCGCCTGACTTCCATCCCCTCGTTCCGCTCATTTGTTCTTTCCCTCTGTAGCTGACTCCCAATCCCCCCTTGGTTCACCCCAGGTAGAATTCGTCTCGGTGTTGGGTTTTGTTTTGTTTATTTTTATTTGTTTTTAATTGCCGCGAGTAGAAGCGGGGTTGAGCTTGCGTTCCGGCTGTATAGGACAGCTGCGCGGCATTGGAAGGTGGGGTTGGAGCTAGCTTGACAGTTTCAGACGCCATTGACTTCGAGAGTTTGGGAGCCTGTGGGGGAGTGTGTGCGACATTCGGAGTCAAATGTACCCGAGAAGTCTCGCATTGTGGTTCAAGAGAGCCCAGAGGTGTAGAAGTGAGGAGTTTTTTTTTTTTTTTTTTTTTTTTTTTTTGATTTTTTTCTGACCGAGAGATTGTAAACGAGGGTGTGATTGGCTTCAAATTGTGTCAAAAGCGAACTGGGGTGTTGGATTAGATGCGAGGGTGCAGATCTGCTTGAGTATTGTCCCAGCCTCGGTTCCACAGCCGCATTACGAGTTTCTCGTGGGATTAAATTTTGTTGGGAGTAATTTGCAGTGAGGAGGGTGCAAGTCTGCTTGAGTTCCAAGTGCGGTCAGTGGAGCTCAAGACCGACGGCAATTCTGTGTGCTGTTGACATAATTGTTGTGGGAACTTATCCAAGTCGTACGTTTACACAATTATCTTGTAGATCATTGCAGCGTTGCAGCCTGCGTGCATCCATTTTTTTTTCGCATCCCGTTGCGTGTGGGGCATGCCAGAGACTGGCTAAGCATGTGAGGTGCTTTCCTCTTACAAAAGGAATTGCGGAAAGAGGCGTCTAATTGAGTCTTGGAAATACAACTGTGAAGTCCATGACACCCCTTTGGTGATAGAAGGGATCCATCCATCAGCGGAGATTTAAGACTGCTGCGCAAGTTCAAAGGTGTGACACCCTGATATCGTTGGATTAGTTCAAGAATGGTAGACGAAAGAAATTGAGCATCTCCGAGATTTTCGGAGATACAAAGTGGAGGTTAGACGATCTACTGAGGACAAGGTGTCCTGCAATTGCGACGAGCTATAGATTGTATACTGCCTATTTGTCAAAGGCAGTTGGGAACTGGAATGCGTTTGTGTGTAGCTCTTCCTTCAATTTATGTGGCCTTCGAGAGTTATGGAGTATAACCGGTGGTTTAGCAAGAGAATTGATGTCTGAAATTAACTTCAGGATCTCTAAACGGACGCAGCAATGAGCTTCTTGGTTGGATATCACTCATGACTGTTCCATTACAGCCGATGTAGAGTTCAAATCTGGAACACCTAGGCGTCGAAAAGCAGCTTTCTTAGACTGAAAAGTGCTTTTAGTTGATTCGCAGCAATGGTGGGTTATGACTTGTCTGCGATTCCTCAGAAGCCAGCTTGGCTGGAGTCTCTTTTAGCCGAAAAATTCTTTGTGCCTTGCGCGAAGCATGGAGCGTTGAAGAAGAATGAGAGAAATGTATTCTGCATGGACTGCAATGCAGGCGTGTGCCAGCATTGCGTCCCTGCTCACCAGAATCACTGCATTCTTCAGATTCGGCGATATGTGTACCATGACGTGATACGTCTACAAGATATTCAACGTCTTTTGGACTGCTCGACAGTTCAAACCTACATCATTAACAGTGCGCGGGTGGTGTTTTTGAACCAGAGGCCACAGCCGCGGCCTTCCAAGGGGATGGGTAATGCCTGTGGGACCTGCGACAGGAGTCTGCAAGACTCGTATGCTTATTGCTCGGTTGCATGCAAAGTAGACGCCATTGTTAATAGCGGTAGTGACCTGTCGAGCCTTCTGCCGGTGAGCTGCAACATGCCGTACGCTTTCTTCACCTGCTCTCCGACTCGGAGCTTGAAAGGTGGGAAGCACGAGCTTGAGGACGAGCTTCTTACGGATTCTCCGTCCGATGAGTCGCCAACCCAGACGTCTTCAGCATCGACATCTAGTGAGGTTACGGGGTTCTGTGGAGTAGTATCAACGGCCTCAACTCTTTTGTTGCCTAAGAAAGTGCGGAGTGGGCGTCTATCGGCGATGACGACGTCCCCAGTGTCTGTAATATTTCCAGTTTCTGTGAAGAGAAGGAAAGGGACTCCTCACAGATCGCCATTTTGCTAGGAAATTGCTCCTGTAGAGAGCTCGGTTGCGTTCTTTGTCTTCCATCTCACATATTTTTTGGTATCGCTCAGTCGGTTACCCAGTAGTTATTGATCTCCCCTTGTGCATGGGGGTTTCATCCACAAAGCTTCACGTCGTTTCTGGCGACTTATCGGAATAGCTGAAGCAGACTGTTCTCCCCAGTCCAGTCGAGGGTTAGTTTAAAAGTGAATGGAAGGAGCGGTTTGATCTGTCGTGGGTAATAGCTCGGCGATATGCTCTAGAGGTTTTGAAGTTTTAGTTTCACACGGCGGGACGAGGCAAGTAGATTTCCCGATATCCCAACTTAAGCTGCTTGTAAGGACGTCTACGTTTGTGGTGTTTTGGCCATAGGTCTTAATTGTTCTGGATTCGGTAGGAATACTGTAGGGAGTCTCTGTTTGGATTCGATTGGAACGATGACCGGTGTTGAAGCTGTAATCAGGACTTCAATTTGAATGAGGGCCACAGTCCAAAAGGACGTGACAATAGTTGGTAGCCTGTAATTGCAAAAAATTTACAGAAATATTTCTCCTCCAAGTAGTGATGAGCAGATTTTGCTTGCTGTAGTTCTACATTATTATGACTTCACGATATGGGGCAGTTCTTGCAATAAAAGTTTGACTATGTCTGACCAAATTATTTACACAGTTTTCTTAGCTTCCGATGGTTTTAATTGAAGGCTAAACTGTGGCCTGCTTGACTTGTGTGTGGCGATACCAGAGTAATTCAGGAGCGAATTTCAGTGGGTTTGTTAGAGAGAATAGTTACTGGACACGAGTTTTCGTTTTGATTGTTGAGCAATGCAAATTTACTCTGTCGTTCAGGCCTCTGTTTTGTTAGCATGGAACCAGGAGAGGACTGCTCATTGTGGGGAAGAAGTATTCCAGTGGTCCATCGAACGGTTAAACTATCCTTCAATCATGTATTTGAATCCCAGTTCCTCCGGGGGACTTGCGTAACATTGCGGTGACAATATCAGTGCAGTGCTGGTTGGCTGTTGGACACAGCAGGACTCTCTAGCAGTGCTTCCCAAGTTCTTGTGCCCCACCCTTCCTTGATCCCATGTGTTGCATCCTTTCTGCAATTATTGCCACATCTTGCAGGCATCTTATGGGGAGAACTCTTTGCATTATCAACCACTAGACAATGATCCCATGTGTTAGGGATTTTCAACAGGAGCAGCTACCTTGTTTCATCTAATGTTTGGAAAGGAAACATAGGGTAGGAAAGGATGGTCAAGACACACTAAAGAAATTTCACCAATTGCTTTTTTTATATGAATAAAATAGAATTGAATAGTTTCATTCCTAAGCATTACCATCCTGAAATAATTACCAAAAGAAATAATTACCAAAAGAACTAATGAATAGATAGCTTAACAAAACTACAATCTTTTAGATTGATGCACACAAATTAATGAATGCCACTATTTGTAATATATAAGATAGATAAAGTGCATAATACATAAAAATTATGTTCTTAGTTAATTTATTAGTTAAATAATTTCATTTTGACTTATATTGATATGGTTTTCATGCTTTAATCTAAAAGTTTCTTTATGAAGAAGGTGATATCAAAAATAACACAAAGAAATTCTAAAATATATGCACACAAGTATATATAAACCAACTATATATTCTAGTAGTAATATGCATTATTACTTATTATCAATTAGATTAATTCACAATTATTGTCCACATAATAAACTTATTGTTTTAGACATATATTTTTACCTAGGTTAAAAGAGTTAGTAAAGATAAGTAAAAATAAGTAGATTTGATAATATCTTATAAAAAACTTTTTAGAAGCTTCATAGACATGGATTTGACTTTTTATGTATTTGTAAGTGATTGGTAGGTAGAAAACTTAGTCAACAAGTTGGCTTGTGTTGTACATGTTGATGACTTGTGGTACAAGTTGGCCATATATTGCATGTATAAGAAAATTGTCTTGTAAGTTGGACACATGTCAAAGGTCCTATTGAACATAGCCATGTAGCTTCTAATTAGATAATATATATAGAGGTAAGTTTGAATCCTTATTTACTCTTTTCAACTCCTTTATTATTTTTAGTTTAATTACAAGAGTCTCTCATTTTTTAATCTTTGGCAATAGCCATTCTAATTTTTTCTTGAATATATAAAAATAAATAAATAAATAAATAAATAAATAAATAAATAAATAAATAAATAAATAAAATATATTTTCATCTTTCCTTGACAAACTTTTATTCATTTATTTCCATTTTTTGATTCCTTATCCTTAACACTTAGACAATTGGTCTACGACTATAATTATCAAATTTTAATATCTATAATAAAAATATAATTTTATTATTAGGCTTAAAATACAAGTATTGGTTTAGTAGCTAAGAATATACTAAATGTTCATTTATTTTGTTTTTTGGAATTGGCTTCAATTCAAAAAAAAATAGTGGAAAAAAATCCAAAATAGCTTCTTATAGTAAAAGATTACATGGATTAAATATTTTTTACTCTTATTATTCTTGATAATTCTTGTAAGATTGCTATCAAGTATTGCCATCTTTCTTAATGCCAACATTTTTTATCTTCAAGAAATTTTTTATAACATACATTACTTAAAAAAATTGTATACATTGGAATGCTTTATATATAAGTTTAAAATTAATTTGATAATTATAGAAATCTCTAATAAAATCACAATTAATGGTGATGTGAATTTTTTATATCATATATCTAAAACCACTCTAAAAAGAGTAGCTTGGAAATAGATTAAATCTTTATATGTCTAATGCTCTTCTACAAATGCCACATAAAAGTTGTGACATCTATTAAATGTTGTAAACTTCCATGCCACCACTAGCCAGCTGTGGTGCATATAATTTATTGATGATGTTACAAACTACTTATAACATAGTTGATAATTGCAAAAATATCAATTGTTGTTTCTTATTGAAATGGTATTTATAAGATTTATTATATTTTAATTGTAATGGGCATCTACAATCATATTTTAGGCTTGTAGAAATTGGCCATAGTCCTTTGTAATATATGGTAAGAATTTCTATCTAAAAAATAATTGCATTAAAATATTAATAAAATGATTATTTCCATGAGCTAAAAGTATTGTATTAAAAGAGTCTAGAAAAATATCAATGCATCATAATAAGATTCAAATTGACTTCTTAGAGATATTTTAATTTAATACTAATATTTATACATCTTCTTGTAAGATAAAATAAAATAATTTTCTTATAATTAATACTATTAAAAGAGTCTTTAATTGTTTCAATGCGGTTGTTGCTAATTATTCATATATAATAAAAATAAGTTTTTTATTAATTAATTTTTATTTAAATTTATATTCTGTAATTTTAGAATATATGTTTTTTTAAATTAGGCTTTTATTATATATTCATTTTTTTATAAATTATTATGGTTAATAATAAAAAATAATATTCAATTTTATCTTTTAATTTTTAGAATTTATGAATCAAATCATAATTTATTTCTAATTTTTAAAATTTCATATATATATATATATATATATATATATATATATATATATATATATAAATATTAATTTTAAGTTGTACAAAAAACATCCTAATATCAAATCTCCTATGTATTAATGCAAATGGATTACATTGTGTCAAGAATATGAATTACAAACAATTAAAACATCAATACATTCTTGTATCATTTGAAAAGAATATATATATATATATATATATATATATAGAAAGATAGCATAATATTAAATTAAAATGACTAATACCAAAGACAAAAAGATTAAAAATTCTTGAAATAAGACTAAGATCAAGAAAGATGTTGACAAGAATAAAAGAGACTTTATTTTTGTCTCAATATTTACTATCTAACTAGAAGTTATGTGACAACGTTCTATGGGACATCTAGTATATTTTTAACTTACAAGACAAGTTTTTTATATGTGTGCCATATGATTAACTTGTACCTTAAATTGCCAACATATGCAATACATGATCAATTTAATGACTAAGTTTTTAACCTACAAATACTTATAAAATCAAAACTACATCTAATATAGCTTCTAAGAAGCCTTTCTACAAGAAATTATCAAATTTATCTACTCTTATTTATTTCTATGTAAGTCTAGTTATTTAAATAACTATTAGTGTTGATTATATTCATGAAAATATTTCTATTTTTAAATAAAATTTTCACAAAAATTAAGATTACATATTGAAAAAGTCCAAGATATAAAAAATCATATTTTCCATATAATTTGATCTTTATTTCTTTTGAAGATAGTTCATAAGTTGTCTTAGTTGTTAATAATGTTTTACATTAAGACAAAAAGACCAACATGTTATTTAATCATTATTAAGGCCTTCATAACTTCTATTAAATAAAACTTTTGAAATACCATTAAGAATTATTCTTGCCTCTTATAATATCACCAAATATTTAGTCTCTTTTAAGGTCATAATATCAAACACATTATATCTCACCATCTATTTAAAAAACATATTATTTTTGAAGATTTTCATCTCTATTATATTGTCTTGAAGGTTGTGACAATCTCAATGCCTTATTTGGTAATTAAAAAAATGATATATTTTGAATTAAATTTACTAATTGTTGATTTTTTTAATCTTTTTAATACCACAAATATAAAAAAACTACAATTAATATAAAAGATAAAATGAATTTTTTATTGAACCAAGTTTGTTTTATAGCAAAGAATTTTTTTCACTCTTCATTTTAATTTCAGTAGATGTTGTCAAAACAACATCAATCTTCTTTATTGCATTTACAAAATTTGTGGTTGGCTCTCATATGTATTCATTAATATCATATCTTTGCCAATGTACAAAATATTCCAACCTATTTCAACTCCCCTTTAAATTTAAGACTTCTTCAACCTTAAATTCTTGATTATTATATACTTCTATATATATATATATATATATATATATATATTTTGGTATATCTACTGTCTTGTGTGGCTCAAAAAGATATATATGGAATAAAGAATGGATTTTTAGAGACTTTGATAGGTATAATAGATATAAAGTTGGATTGATTTTTTTACAAATAAGAAATGGTTTTAATTTAGAATAATCCAAATTATTATAAAAAAAAATAGTCTTGACATTAGAACAAAGTAACTATATGTTATTGCCAAAGTGTAATTGAGGTGTTTCTTGTAGTATGCATCTATGTTGATGATTTGTTGTTGTTTTACTTCTTTTAATTGTGCCTTCATTGTTATATGTAGCTATAATAAATAATTTTTTAAATCTTTTAGAGTAGAATTATCAACTTATGAGAAGTCAAAAATACCAAATTATAGATACTAATTATAATGATTTTAAAAGTAAAAAAATCTCTTGGATAAAATATTAATAATATCTTGAATAATAATCAAATTTTAGTGACTATTAAAAATAGTGATGAGCCTTTTCTTACCTTAGTTAATAAGATAGGAACACCTTGTAGTGCATCTCCTATATTTGTGATATTTTCTATATTATTTATATTTTTGGTACATGGAACTAAAATAGTTTTAGATTCTAATTATCAAATTCATAAAGAATCTAATATAGATGAAAAAGAACATGCCATGGGATTTTTGACCAATACCACAGTTTCTTATGATATTAAAAAGACTCAACATCA